TTTGGCACAGCAAAATTCAATTTATTTGTACACCATAGCAAATTTTTCCACCCCGTCTCACCACGGAGAAAAAAGTTACCGATTGGCACAGGTCCTAAGAATGGAAATGTATGTACAAAACACATTCACACAAGCACAAGCACAATAAACACTTACTATATCAATAGGTGTGTACTCGTATTGAGAAGACAAAATTCTCCAGCAGAAAAAGTTCTGAGAATTTAGCAGCATTCGCTCTCAATGAGACGAAATATCAACAAAAGTACGAGAACGCAAAATTTGCAAAAACTTGCAACCTTTGAAACAGCTGATCACTTGCACAGTTGCCACTGGTGATTAATTTGGCAATTTATTTTCTGCTTGGTGCATTTTCCTCCGATTTGGCATTTTATACATTTGAATAGTTTTGGATAAGAAAAACCTTTTTAAAATACGATTTAATTATATCGGAATGAATAAGTTATTTTTCTCATAATTATTTGTGATATCACATGGTGACGCATTAAAAACAGTAGTATCTCCTCCAAACACCCATCATTGATCCAAAAAAATGTAATAGAGTAGGTTTAAAATTACAAAATTTTCATTTCAACAATCAACCTATCAAAACCGAAAACTTCAGCAAAACAACTTTTCAGCATGTTGCTTTTAAATCTATTTTGGTATATTTAAAGGTAAATTATGGTACAAACGAAAAATGTCATACGGCAACCATAGTCAGCACACACTAAAGTAAACAAACTGGCGATTAATAGCAAATTAACGAAAAATAAACTCAATGAACGTTGTGCTTATTAAATTTACGCACTTTTTAGTTGTATACTAGCATTAATAATAAAAATTGCAATAATAACTCAAAAAGGCCATATTTTCTTTTGTTTATTTACAAACATGTGTTTGTGATCAGCTGATTTTCTTACTTACAAGTTTTAGCTGGGAAAAATTTTTCCAGCAGAAATTTCCAGCTCTCTTTCACATTTTGCTCTCTCAATTCCCCCTACTTTGCAAGTTTTTTGGGTACGAGAACGCAAAACCAGTAAAAGTTTTCTAAAACTTTAGATAGTTGGGCGTACGAGTACACTCCTAATTATTTTTTGCCTCCTTCCAATTTGAACTCACTTTTTTACTTTTTAGATTATTCTCACTTTTTGCGTATTCTTTAATTTCCGTTAATTTAAATTCAGTTGAGTTTGACACTTTTCAGGATTTTGCCAGAAAAAATTCTTCTGACTAAATCTGACTGCTTCGGACTAATGAGAGTCACTCTCACTGTGTGTTGCTCTCTCATTTTTGCTGTCATTTCCGAGTTAAGGAACGCTTTTTGGACTAAATCTGACTACCTCGGACTTTTTGTGACTATTTCTGGGAGATAAGGAACGCTCCTAATAGGTGCAATCCCGTATTCCTCGGACTCGGGACTAGTAAACCTGTCAAAAAATAAAAATTCGCTCAGAGCGAGAGAGTAACATTGAAAAGTACGGGATCGCTTCCTAGTTAAAAATGGTAACTTCTGTCAACTTCAACGTAACCTCCAAATTTTGGTTGTAAATTTTTGCTTAGATTGTATGTAAACGCACTCAGCTCACACATGTAAATAACCAAAAATACTTTCAAATTCATTAGAATCCACTTAAACAAGTAATTAAATACTTTTCAACATGAATTAGCAGAGTGCACTTTTCTTTTGTTTACAATTTGGTTGCTAAACACACTACAGGTGATCGTTTGACACATTTACCAGAATTTACCAGCGTAAAATTCTCGGACTAAAACTGGTAACTTCTGACAGAGAGAGAACCGTATTTACTCTCTTTTTTGTCCTCTCAATAGTCAGGGAACCGAGTACGGGATCGATTTCCAGTAAAATCTGACTGATTCTGACTATTTCTGACTAGTCCGGCCTCGTATGGGATCGCAACTAATAATAACTCCGAGTTGCGTAGATCCGACGATCTGGGAAAAGACGGAAACGTCCGATGCATCGGTTTTATTCGATGTATCGAATAGCAAAGATCGATGTTTCCGATATATCGATGTAGGTTTTACATCCCTAAAACTCTAATCTGAAATTAAATTTTAATAATATCGATCTCTTCTACCTATTAACAATGTACACAAAAAAAGTTTTCCCGATTTTACGAAGCATATTGACACAAGACTTCCATTTGGCACATTTAAAATTTTTGCCTGGTTTAGCAACAACAAATGATGCTCAGCACATGCCCTCCATCCGCTTGCCACCGCAGGGACAGCGAAGCTCAATATGCATTTCACAAATACGATGTTATGCAAAAAGCAAAGATAAAAAAAAGGAGAAAGGTAAAAAAATCCCCAAAGTTGAAATCAATGAGAGCCAACTCCGTGAAGTGCTAAACTTCGATGCGGTAAATGGACAAATGCAAAAGGCGGTGCAGCAAATGAAGGAAGATTTTATAAAACATTTGTCATTACGTTCTACTTCTGGAGCTATAGAAACTTTGCGTGTTCACATTGATGGGTCTGAACACGAATTGCAAGAACTTGCGCAAATTTCTCGGAAAAACCCTAAGACTGTTGTGGTTAATATGATTGCGTTTCCTCAAACTATACCTGATGTATTAAAAGCAATTGATAGTAGTGGTATGAACCTTAATCCGCAACAAGATGGAACTACACTATTTATTCCTATACCAAAGGTGACAAAGGAACATCGAGAGAATCTAGCAAAAAACGCAAAGTCCCTCTTCATCAAGTATCGAGACGCTATACGGGATATACAAAATAATAACATAAAAAAAACTAAAGAAACAAACGGATATATCTAAAGATGATATTTTTGCTATCCAGACACAACTAACTGCTATTGCAGATAAATACGTGGAAGAAGCAGACAAATTATTAACAACAAAGCAAAAAGAGCTACTTGGCGAATGAACCGACCCGAGCGGGGCTTAGTATCCGCTACAACAACAACAACAACAACAACAACAGCTACTTGGCGAATCATAAGCCATGACTGAACAAAAATAAATAAAATCAATAAAAGTTTTTTAAACAATTTATCATTGAACTTTTTTTCGGTCCTAGCCAAGGTACATTGAACAGGTAGTATCAGTAGAGCAGCTGATTTGATTTATTTTCAAATTATTTGGTCTCGAAAATGTCAAATATTTTAAATTTTTTCTCACGAAAATTATAAGTTGTTAAAATCCATTTGCTTGTGAAACCTTTTTCCATACAAAACAAGCGATTGAATAGCAGCTTTTGGAACGTTCGCCCAACTCGGCAGCACGACCGCTGATTACTGGGCCTTGCAAAGGATGGATCAATGCTTCGATAAGCAAACAAATTTACTAGGAAAGAAAGTTGCATCAATTTTTATTTTTTCCAATTTCAATTTTTTATTTTTTATAATTTTTTGTATTTCACATGGCACGCTTTGTTTTAGAAGAAAAAATTCAGAACAGTTGTTGACACTTTCGATACCAGAAGCAACAACAAAATACACGTAAATGTTGTTTTTGCTCTACTGATACTACCTGTTTAATGTGCCTTGGTCCTAGCTAGTAAAAATGTAAATAAATATCTGTTTTTTAGACATTTTGTTAAGTACATACATATTCGCTGCCAATGAAGTTGGTCAGCAGATTTCGTTCAACTTTTGATTCAAGTTATCGCCTGTGAAAGAGTAATCCTGTTAATTCCCTATTGCTCTCTAATTTATGTGCGTTTTGGTTTTTATGGCACAAATGTAGGCATCAAGTGCTTATGCCGACTCCGCAGATGGCTTAGAGCAATTTATTATTATTATTTTTTGTCGGAAATAGAATTTGGTTCTATAACTAGGATATTATTAGAACTTGAGAACTCCGCTACAGCATTTAATCAAAAAGTAAAAATACCTAATCATGAAATTCTTTCGTATAACTCAACAATGTTAAAATGTCGTTATAATTTTTGTGATGGAATTTGAACGAACTCACCTGTTCTATATTATCTGAATTCCTTTCAAGTAGCTTATTGAAAGCTATATTTTCTTTCTTTAATTTTTCACGGAAATTTAGAGTTTTTATTTTGCTCTGATTTCCAATAACGTATTCTTGTGTCTTAATGACGGACGCATACACCGCATCAATCTTGCTGTACCAGGTCTTCAATTCACTTTCGTTGTAGGATCGAGTAGCTTCTGAAGCCTTTTCAAGTTGGGAAACTTTAGTTTTGAGCCGTTCATTTTCACCCATAAGTTCTGTCACCTTTTTTATATAGAAATCTTTTGGCATATTTGACTTAAGAACATTCTGCTTCAATGTTGTACGAATCTTCTTCGCCCGACTGGCATACTAAAAATATAGATGTATACCATTTAAATGTGCATAAACAATAATATAACAGAAATAGTTACTTTTAACGTATTGTAGGTGTCTTCATAAGTCAACGAACTCATCGAAACGTTAGCGACCATTAAAGTTTGACAATTTCCTCCGAGGGAATCCTTAAGAATACGAGTCAAATTTGAATCGCGGTAGGGAATATGTTTCATTCCATCTGCCAACTTGTTTATACAGTTTCCCAGCGCCAATAAACTTTTATTAATACTTGCACCTTCCTTGAAACGAACACCAATACCTTTTGTACTGGCAGCTCGTTCGCTTCCCGCTAAATCGATCATTGATAATTTAACTGTTCGCTTAGTTCCGG